TAAAATGAAATATTGACTCAAATGGATGCAACAGATTCATGTGAACAAGGGTATCCTCATTTGTAAAAACCATATTCAATTTTCAAAAATTTCATTCCCTTTTTTCTTTACTTGCTGTTCTCATCATATTCTAGCATGTTGTCATGATGAAGCACATCTGCTCAGTTTCTAGGCAGTGTTTAATCTCATTAAGCCACTTGAAATCCCCTTCATCTCATTTGCTCTTGTTCAGTTTCAATTTGATCTTATTTGTACAGTTTTATCCTGCCCTACAGACTCAGTGACTCAAAATTATAATTATGTGCTCTTGTTTCTTTATTAATTTATGCCCAGCTACAAAGAGCCCTTGATTCAATTTAATTAGATGTTCAGTCAACTCTCATCACACACATCATCACTTATATTCAAATGTTCTCACCTACTGTAAAGGTCAGGTTATACTGTCATTATTAAAGCTCACGGTCCTTTTCAAGTGAGTCTAGGACTGTTTTCTCTCTCAAAGTCTGTGCCCTATTAAGCTGTTTTCCCATTAAGCCTTTTAGAATCTGCTGTTGAAGGTTATTTTACATATGAGGCAGACCAGTCGACTCTATATAAAATTTTACACCACAGTAGCAGAATGTGATACAAAATGTATTGATGACAACACAGAGTTGCTTCCTGGCTGTTTAGCAGAGGAGCAGCCCCCCCTAGAGTCAGAAAGTATAAACTGTCAATGTAGCTGTCTGAGTGTATCCAACTGTCATTTCCCTCAATCTAACAACGCAGAAAAAAAACTAGGACCATATTCAACTTAATGTAAAACTACTTATTTCATGTAAACAGACAACTGATTTTCCATGTGTGTCAGTCTTTGTCAAATTTTCTCAAAGCAGGGTTTGCCATTATTCAGTCATTGTGTTACATGGAGTACAGGATTGTTCAAAGCACAGTATGGGAACAGTTGAAGAACATTTCTCTAGAAATTACTATCTGCTTATATAATAGCCACAAATAACTAACCTCAAACAAAATAACTTTCTCAGAACACTATTCCTATTTTGCCAGTAATCAGTACCAGACTGTATGTTCTTACGAGGGAATTTATAAAACATAGAAATAGAAAAAAATGAGTAAAGGGAAGAGCTGAGTACAAAGCAGCAGGGCCATATAATGTTTTTAAAAACAACAATTTGATGTCAGTTGAAGCTAGGTCAAAATGCTTAAAAATGGATTCCACACCAATATACAACATGCCCACAGTTCAGTGTGCCTGTCTCCACACATGCACCATGTTTTGTGTGGTTTGAGTTAACCTTCTGCTTTTGTTTTACACCTACAACACACTCCTGACATCTGTTCATGCTTTCACACAGTTCTTGCAATATAATACTGACTTCCACACCTCATCTTTACTTTTATTTAATTTAATAAATATTCTTTAAATGTTTTTACTCCAGTAGTGCATCTCCCTCCTTCCTGTTGTGACATTTATGCAGGGCCGTAGCAAACCAATTGCAACAAAAATCACTAAATCCTTCATTAGTGAGATTTATACTTCTTAAATATTTTGCATATTTGTGCTGGAGGGGTTTTGTTGTTCTACCATTCTCTTTAAAATACTCCAAAGGTGTTCAGTTGTTTTCAAGGAAGGGGCCAGGCCATAGTATAGGTTTCTTTTTTTCTTCTCCAGCATCTCTTCCTTTAACAACATTACTATGTTAGTAAATTCCTCTTCTGGAGAGCTTCTTGAGACTGGGAGTGATGTTCAAAGAATAAGCAGCAGCAGTAAGGAAAACAGGCTTTGGGGTTTGTTCAACTTTATGTCACACATTCAGATGTTTAAATATTTTTTCTTCAGTTTTTTTGCTTTGAAAAAAGAGAGAAGAGGCCTGAAAAAACACTACTTCTCTGATTGCTATTCAACAAGTCTTCCAGCCTAAAAAGCCCATACAGGTTGTTTGTCTCTACCTAAAATCCAGTCTTTCCTGCAGATGCAAAGACCCTAATTCATAACTTTGTTCCATCCACACTTAATTATTGCCATGTATTGTTTAAGGTATTTAAAATTCCAAACATAAAATCTCATTTGTACACTCAATTGAGTGTACAGATGAGATGTACAGGGGCAGGCAATCCTGGTCCTCGAGGGCTGCTGCCCTACCCTCTGCTGATTACCTGGTGTTTAGTCAATCAGAAGCTGTCAAGATACCAAATCACTTTGACTTTCTCATTCCACCTTCATCTAAGATGGTATGCTGGATGCTGATCCAGCTAATCAGTGCTGGGTAGGGCAGGGATAGTTGGAAAAAAAGCAGGGCAGCGGGATTTCCTACCCTGTTCTGTTCAGCTAGTAGCATCCTTCTTGACTTACTTCTTGCCTTATATTGCGAGCAGTCTTCAGCTGGAGCATTCTTCAGAATGGGAAACTGGGGCCATCTAGTCCTTTTATAATCAAAACGAGAGTTGTGCCCATATCCTTTACAAGAAGTCATGTTGGCCTCCACCCCATTATCTCCAATCCTGTTGTGGTTTTCATGGACAGGATCTCAAGTTTCACTCAGGGGGAGGTGTGTGTCCTGATTGAGAAGCTCAAATTGTTTATCTGCTTTGTGCAGAGGATGTAGTTCTATTGATTTTCACCAGAGCATGATGTCCAGCATGCACTGTGGCAGTTTGCAGCAGAATGTGAAGCTGTTGGGATGAGAATCAGCATCTCCAAGTCTGAGGCCATGGTTCTCTGCTGAAAAATGGTGGATTGCTCTCTTTGGGGTGGGAATGAGCTGCTGACCCAAGCAAAACAGTTCAAGTATCTCAGGATTTTGTTCATGAATAAGGGGAAAATGAAGGGGTAAGACTGACAGGCAGATTGGTGCCACGTCAGCAGTAATGTGTGCATTGTACTGGACTGCTGTCCAGCTGAGCTGGAAGTCAAATCTTTCAGTTTACCAGTCCATGTTCCAACCCTCACCTATGGTCATGAGCTTTGGGTAGTCACCAAAGAATGAGATTGCAAATACAACCACTTGAAGTGAGTTTCTGCCGTAGGATGGCTGGACTCAGCCTTATAGATTGGTGTGGATTTCAGACACCCAGAGGGACATCAAAGTAGAGCCACTGCTCCTTCACGTTGAAGGGAGCCAGTTGAGGTGGTTCATGCATCTGATTAGGATGCCTCCTGGACACATTCCAGTGGAGGTTATACTGGGCACATCTAACTGATAGGAGGCCCCGAGGTCTATCCCAGAGGGGCTACAGAGAAGATGGGGACCAATCTGACCCCATAATGGATGGATGGAATGATGTGCTACAGTTTACACACAGACTGGTTTGACAAGCCTGCATTGCACTGTACTGAGACACTGTGACCACAGTAACAATGGCTCACACCAATGGATTACACTGCTTAGGCAAGTTTGAAGAGACTGCTTATTGATTTTCATACAGCACAAAAATGTATGGGTCCCAGTTTATTTACATAATAAATAAAAGCACATAATTATAGTAAAAGTATTCATTATGCTAAATTACCCATGTACTATTAGCTTACAATTAATAATGCATTAATATATGAAAAGCGTTTCAGTGTTGTAGCTGCGAGAGAGAATAAACTTGAACTGCTTGAGATACTGTTGGGTACAGAACTACATTTTGTATGTAGAATTTTAATCTGAAAAGCTAAATATAGCTATCAATAAGAATAAACAATATGTCCTTCTGAAACATAAAGGTGTACATTAAGCATAAAGTAGCATAAAATGTTGATACTGGTAAATACTGTATTACATCACTGTTATTTGTTTAAAAAAACACCCATTCATTACTTTAAGACATCTGTTTATTAGAAAGCAGATCGTCAATGGTTAGCGTTTCACTTCCACGGGTTTGGATAAGTGTTTTTTTTTCTGCTTTTAGTCTTCCATACAATAATTAGACCTAGAAACTCATTTTACAGACAACTTGATTAAACCAGTTTCCAATGGGATTTCATTAAATCAGATCAAATGAGTAAACCCACCAAACACTCAGGATGCTATCTACCTTCAAGTATGTTTCTTCTATCATCACACAAACTGTGGCTCATACAGACAAACATATCATGTAAAATAACCCATTTATTTTGATGCTATATAGTCTGTCACAACACAGTCATGGCCACAAATTCTGGCACCCCTGCATTTCTGTCAGATAATCCACTACTTCTCCCAGAAAATTGTTGCAATCACAAATTCTTTGGTATTCTCATGTTTACAATGTGCTGGAGAGTTCTGAAGTGTCCAGCAATGAGTCCAGATCTAAATCCCATAGAGCTCCTGTGCAGAGATCTCAAAACAGGGAGAAGGAGCCCTTCACATCTGAGAGACCTGGAGCAGCTGGCAAAAGAACAGTGGTCCAACATTCCAGTAGAGAGGTGGAAGAAACTCACTGATGGTTACAGGAAGAGACTCATTCCAGTTATTTTGTCCAAAGGGTGTGCTACCAGATATTAAGATGAGGGTGTCAATAATTCTGTCCAGTCCACTTTTGGAGTTCTGTGTGGAATGGATCAGAATCCGCTTTTTCTGTTCTAGTGCAAACAAAAGAAATAAACATGAGAATACCAAAGACTTAGCAACAGTTTTCTTGGAGAAGCGGTGCGTTATCTGATAAAAATGCAGGAGTGCCAGTATTTTTGGCCATGGTTGTAGATAACACTGGTTACATGATCAGCGTTCTGCTCTACACATAGCAAAAAAAACATATCTTGATGAAGGACTATCAGTAATACTGTATGACCCAGATCTTCTTTTTCTGCAGTTACACACATGGTCCATATGTGGGTGATGGTGTTACGCTACTACTGTTAATATCCACCCATCTCCACAGAGTAAGGCATACTTGAGGCTCAGCAGATCAAGGTGGAACTCAGTAAACGGAATAATAATGCATACCTACATCTTTTCAAACGGATTCATTGTTGTATTTCACCGAGCTGTCCTGTTTTGGCTTTTGCCATTGTTCAAAATACCCTCACGAATGTAACTTACTTCATTATGTCTTAACAGGAGTTTGTTGTGCTAGAACCACTTTTGTACTTAAAGACACAGTGTTTATTGATGCCTAAGCAGAAATGCCATGAATGTAGCATAAAATAAAAGCCCAGCCAGCATCTCAAAAATCCAGCCCTGTTCTCCACCTGACCAGCACCTCCCACAGTGACAGCAGACAGTCGCACAATGCAGACACACACCTCAGAGTCAGCACCATATATTGTCTTTGACATGCATTTTAAATTTCATGTGATCAGTTGTCAGTGAGCAGCTGGGCTGGTTATTGTGCTGGGGTGCAGCGGTGGCTCTTGTATGTTCCCAGGTGGCGGAAGCTGCGCCCACACTGCTGGCAGCAGTAAGGCGTGGCCCCGCTGTGGATTCTCTGGTGAGTGTACAGGTTCCCCAGCTCTTTGAAGCGCCGGCCACACTGAGGACAGGCATACGGGCTCTCGCCGGTGTGCACCCGTTGATGTCTCTTGAGTCCAGACAGTACTGAGAAACCTTTGCCACACTGGGGGCAGGGGAAGGGGCTCTGGGCTCCACTGTGCACCAGCCTGTGGCTCTTTAACCGGGCTGCATGGCGAAACCTCTCTCCACACTCTGGACACATGAAAGGTTTCTCTCCAGTGTGGATACGCTGGTGCTGCCGCAAGTTTCCGAGGTAATTAAAATGCCGTCCACAGTCCCCACACTCATACCCTCCTTCGATTTTAATCTCTTTTTTCACAGGCCGCCCTCCCCGACCGATACTGACGCCAGTCCCTGGTCCTGTGCCATCCTCATTTTGACCTCCTCCACCTCTCCTGGAGTTACTACTGCCATCCCCCATGGTGGGTGAAGTGGAGGAGGTTGACTGCAGGGTCTGCAGTGCCTGGACACCAGCGGAACCTGAATGTATCACTTTAATATGCTCCTCCAGGAAAACAGAATCAGGGCAGAAAGTTCCACACAAAGAGCAGATGTAGGTGTGACTCAGGAACTGCTGACCTGAAACCACAAACAAACATTTTAGACATAAATAGATGCAGACACACCATAAATCAATTATTTGCATAGAAAAACACCATTTGTGTGTCATATTGAGATGCTGCTAAAAGACAAGACGAGAGTGTTTCATTCCCTGTAAAGCTGTGTGGCTAAAACTGCAATACTTTCATCTGCTGTAGATAATGCAGGAGGTCCTCCTCTTGGTGCCCTCACACTCTCTTTGTACACACATATGCACTTTTCTGCCTCCTCTCACTTACTGCACAATCTGACCGCTTCTGCTTTTTTTTTATACCTCAGTCACAGCCCTCTTCTTCTGTTTTTGATCCCTGAATTGAGACCACAAAACCGATCATATTTTTCTCTACCTCTCCAAATTACCTCTATATTACAATCAGTGAAATTGCACCGGGGCAGCATGATGATGCAGTGATTAGCATTGTCACCTCACAGCAGGACGGTTCCAGGTTTGAGCCCCAGCCGACCCGAGGCCTTTCTGTTCAGAGTTTGCATGTTCTCCCTGTGCCTGCATGAGTTCTCTCTGGGTGTTCTGGCTTCCTCCCACAGTCCAATGAGTGGGTTAGGTTGACTGGCATCTTTAAATTCCTTATAGAAGTGTGTGTGGTCGTCTGTCTCTAAGTGTCAGCCCTGTGACAGCAACCTGTCCAGGGTGTACCCCGCCTCTCGCTCTGGAAACCCAGCTTCCATTCTGATTAACATCATATTTGAAGCTATAAAATATGAACTTGCACTCACTTTGTCCCTGCTTCTTTTTGAGCTCTTATCATATGGATAATAACAGAAAAATACAGACAGGAAACACTGCTGTTGGGGTTTGAACTAACATTATCACAACAGGCTTGTCAGCAAGCTTGTATGCTTGTGTCGCAGTTTGGGAAAAGACTTTGGCTTTGGGACGATAACATTGCCTTTTCAGATGGTGGAAATCTTGTATTGTGTTTCCCATCTTTGTCGACAGAGGTCGCCTGCATATTTTACAAAGAATATTGCTCTGCTGTTTATGCAGTTTTAGAACTCCAAACCATTTCCAAATCACCAGTCTTTCATGATCTCTTTTTGCCAGCACTTCCTTGTTTTGTAAGGACAGCTGACTCTCCTCACACTCATGTCCGTCTTCCCAACAGTTTTCCTTAATTTGGCCTTACACATAAGCTATGCAACCTAACTGCTGCAGTCTAATAGGATGACTCTGGAGAGTGTTGACACTTTACTGATTGAAAATTACTCTTCAGTTTCAATTATTAGATTTGACCGTCATTTCTTTCACCTCTCCCCATCCTCACCCACCTGCCTCGGGCCTGTCTGTGCTGCCCTCCAACGGACTCCCTCCCTCCCCCGGAGAGCTCTGGGGCTCCATAGAGAAATCAGGGGGATGGGTGTGTGGGAGCGGAACCTGGGCCTGGTCAAGATCACCCTCCTCCCTCCTCGACGACTCGTGTTTATTGTCATCCTCCGTCTCGCTGGTTGGGGTGTTCTCACCCTCAGGCTCCTTCATGACTGGGAAAAATACGATAACACAAAAACCTGATGAATGGTGATGGTATCAACACAATACCACACAGATAAATATTAATGAAAACAGTAACAGTATTGACAAAATCCTAACCACACCATCCTAGTTTTAAGTACTCTATTTTTATCCCTATAAAAAAAATATTTTTTATCCCCTATTTATCTCATTACGAACATTCCTTTGTTGTCTGCATTGTTTACTGTCTGTTTATACAGCTTATTCTGCATTGTTTGCACTGTTTGTTGCTGTTAATACTGCTTATTTTGTTATATTACACAGCCTTATGCTGGTTTACTGTTTGCACATTGAGAGCCGATGTACCTGAGTCAAATTCCTCGTGTGTCCGTCACACCTGGCCAATAAAGCTGATTCAGATTCTGATTCTTCTGACATTTTATTATCCATGCTTGGTGTATACAACATTCAAGTAGCGGCTTCTCATTTTACCAGGTGCTGATCTTCACATTCACCATTTGAAAATGGCACATCATATCAGTAATTGCTACCATCATATTCATAACTAATCTGATATTATATTCAGGTTAGAAAAACTGTTATCAAACCCAGACACTATTTGCAAAGCCTAAAATGGATTTGTAGTTTCTATGTTGTCTGAAAAAGGATACACTTATGAAGCACCATGCACCAGGTCCAGAAGTTTTTAATCTCCTTGTCAGTCTGCATTATGCAGACTGTATTTTTAAAGTCAATGTTTATTCCTTAAAAAGAGATGCATTAATGTTATTTATAAAACAATATCTGACCCTTATTTCAACCAAAAATGTTTTTAAGTGTGCTTAAGTGAAGAGACTGTCCTGTAAAACCCCTGTAGCCCACCTCAGTAGGCTCGCAGTGGGCTTTCCACCCAAGCCCTCTACAAGTCCTGCACCAGCTCGAGATATCTGGTCTTCTCAATCCAGTCTTCCCATGTGGTTCCGACATGACCACTTGCTTTGTACAGTGAGGTGTTAAGACCAAATCTGGCACAGTCTTCCTCCTGCCCTAACAAAGGCAATGCTATGCCTGCTGTTTACTCTGCTGGATTCCTGTGCAAATGGCATCAGCTACTGCCTTCAGCACCTGGTCATGGTGCCACCTATACCTCCCGTCCACCTAGCTGATTTATTATTTAGTAAAGAGCATTTTTTCATCTATTTTTGTTTTTTTATATCATGACAAATATTGCAACATGGACTTTTTTTTATTATGCCATCAGACTCCTAAACAGCTGAGGAGTTTATTACCAGGACTGTTTACATTCTCAGTTTGCACATGCATAATTGCACAATGACTGCTGACTGCTGCACATGCTGCTCCCATGCAGCATACATTCTGATATATTCTTGTATATATATTTTTACTATATTGCTGCATCTGCGCTGCTTAAAGTGCCTTAGATTTTGTGTTATTTATTTATCTACTTTATATTTCATTTGTATTTTGTGGCATTCATGTGGAAAGTAAGAATTTCATTGTACAGGGAAACACGTTTCCTAACTGTGCATATGACAAATAAACACTTTGAACTTTGAACTTGAACTATGGCAATATTGTACCCTCAGCATTTGGCACTGTACTGTAAAACTGTAACCTTGCTAAGAATCCCCATTTTTGCTAAGTGTATCAGTAACCTGATTACATCTTTTGTCTCTAGAATACTGATACAGAATACTAGCTTTATCCTAAATATGTAACACTGTTCCGTGTATTCCATTACTTTCCAAGCAAAGGCTCCAAACCACCATAACTTTTTACAGCATCTGAAGTAAGCAACTGGGCATCCACGTTGTCTCAGGATGTCATGGTCCTGTGTTTTGTAATGAAGAAACGTGTCACCCACTGCACCGGTGTGTTTTTAGTCAGTTTTTTGATGGGTTTTATTCTCTGTATAGGGAGTGTTGAGAATAGTGTTAAAGGGGAAAACGACCTTATCCTTCATATGTAACATAACATACAAAGCCCTTAATGACAAGGCTCCATCGTATCTTAAAGGCCTCGTAGAGCCTTATCAACCTAACAGAGCACTTCGCTCTCAGAGTGCAGGT